CTCTTGTTACCCAGGCTGGAGTGCAATGGCGCGATCTCGGCTCACCGCAACCTCCGCCTCCTGGGTTCAGGCAATTCTCCTGCCTCAGCCTCATGAGTAGCTGGGATTACAGGCACGCACCACCATGCCCAGCTAATTTTTTGTATTTTTAGTAGAGACGGGGTTTCACCATGTTGACCAGGATGGTCTCGATCTCTTGACCTCGTGATCCACCCGCCTTGGCCTCCCAAAGTGCTGGGATTACAGGCTTGAGCCACCGCGCCCGGCCGCATGTTCCTTTTTAAAGAAGCAACAGGCACCTTCCCTGAGACAGGAAGAGGCTTTGACTGAGAATCACAACCAAGAAGGTGGCCATGATGCAGTGGGTGAGGCAGCACGGGGCTGAAGAGGGACGGGGCACAGGAGGGCCTCGGCACCAGGACTTAGTCTTGTGAGCAAATACATGGAATGTGCTGCTTTCACTGTTTATCGTCTGCGTGCTGCTCCAGAGCAGGAGCCTCATGAGGACAGGGGCCTTTGTTTGCACATAGTAGGCCCTGCATAAATATTCCTTAATGAACTCCGTGATATTGTGAATGCAGGAAGTCTGGAAAATTCTCAGTAAAGCTATGGCAGAAATGAAATTTTATGCTTTTCTTATGGGAAATGTCAGACAAATTAAAATTTGTTTTCAAAAGCAGAACAAAGAGTAATTCTTCTTCCCCTTCCCCTGTGTGTCCACCATCAGCTCCCACCCTTTTCTTTTTATTTTAGATGAAGTCTCACTCTATCGCCCAGACTGGAGTGCAGTGGCACAATCTTGGTTCACTGCAACCTTCCGCCTCCTGGGTTGAAGTGATTCTCCGTTCTCAGCCTCCTGAATAGCTGGGATTACATGCGTGCACCACCATGCCTGGCTAATTTTTGTATTTTTAGTAGAGATGGGGTTTCACCATGTTGGTCAGGCTGGTCTTGAACTTGTGACCTCGTGATCTGCTTGCCCTGGCCTCCCGAAGTGCTGGGATTACAGGCGTGAGCTACCACGCCTGGCCTAGCTCCCACCCCTTTCATCTCAGGGCCACCCAGCTCCACCCCCATCCCCTTCATGCCAGCCCTACCACCAGACCCTTTCATCCACAAATGCCTCAGACTGTCCTTCCAGACAACAAGGACCTGCTGACAAACACACTCACATTCTGAGTATAGGGTTCTTGGGAAAATCCTCGTGCTAAACGTCGACTTGCTCTTTCTGCAAGTGAATACCTGTTTGCACTAATCATGATGGACAGTGTTTCACAAATACTAACTGCACCCTTTCTCCGCTGCTCAGTCCCATGTGTCACCTGTTGCCCAAGATTTTGTTAAACGTGCAAATTCTCATTGGGGTGAGGGTGACACTCTGCATTTCTGATTCCAAGGGGCTCCAGTCACTGGGCTGTGACCTGTCCTTTCAATGGTGAGGTCCTGGCATGTTATCTCAGGACACGTAGGCAGGGCCCATCTCCACAGAGCCGGGACCTTAGGAACATGCGCACAAGCATGGGAAGAGACAAGAGACCGGCTTCTTGGAAAACATCAGAGTCCAAGGTGTGCTCTGAATGATGATTCTGGGGCCAAACACATTTGAGAAACCCCACGCAATGCAAGATGGAGGTCTACTCTATTAATCGTGTCTATGCATTTATTTGGCTAAAATTTCCAGTCATATCATGGCTTGGCTTGGAATTCTCCAAAGCCTTCCCATGAGCTCGTCACCTCAAGAGTCACGTCACGATTCATATTCGGATACTGAGAAGCGGAGGTGTCCATGAGAAACAGTTGTTTTGAGCTTTTCTGGATCAAGGGTTTCCCTTAAGTATCTGCCTACAAAATCCTCAAGGAACACCGAGCAACACTGTGGGGACCAGATTCAGAAAATGCTGCTCCAGGACTTTTACACAGGCCAAGCCCACGTGAGTGGCCTCCTGGAACTGGAGTTCCCTCCCTGTCTGTAGAGCCCTCACCCAGGTCTCTCACGCACCTGCCTCTCTGCACCATGTGTCACGGTGAAATGGGCCTGTCTTCACCCTGCAAGCCTAACCTGCCCACGAATGCCCGGCAAACCTTGTGGTGGATGCCTTGGGGGCTACAACCAGATGGCGTGGCCAACAAAAAGAGGGACAGTGCATCTGGTCAAAAAGAGGAGGGTCACAAACCACATTTTGCCTCCACATCAAAATTCTGCCCCAATGACTCCTCCTATCACTACCCTGAGCATAGGAGAAGCATGATCACAGCAGAACCCATCCCAGCTCCCCTGCACCACAGCTCAACGTGACCCAGGGAGACGCTGCTCAAAGGTCCTGCTGTTAGGATGGGAGTGTCAACAACACAACTGCTGTGACCACCCCTTACTTCTCCACAACGGTGCCCGCACCACAGCACCTCACAGCCAGTGAAGGACACGTGACATCCCAGCTTGGCTCGGGCTGCCTTCAGAGACCCAGCTCTGTACCCAAGACCAGGGCTCCCAGTTCAGACGCCCACAGAGCTCAGCTGTGACTGAGTCTGCCATTAAGCATGTGGGGACCGGAGCCGGCACAGCATCCCCAGATGTCTCCATCCTCAGTAGTCAAGAGATCTGAGTGTGCACATGCTGTCTCCTGATCTTCCACTCTTGGCAAATAACTCTTACTAACCCACAGGTGTGCGGGAGGGTTGGTCGTTAAGTGCAGGTGTGAGGTCAACGCACTCACCTCTGCAACATCAGCCAGGGACCTGGACACAAATGAGTCCCTTGAGTTTCCATCCAACAAGCTGGGGCCAAGCAAGGATGTGCCACTGTTGGTCCCGATGGGAGTGGGCAACATCTTCCGGCTCTTCTCTGGGGAGATGAAGCTTGCTGCACAGAAAAGACCAGAGGAGAACACCCTGAACCCTGCTTGGTCTGGACCAGTCCAGTGGAAGGGTCCTGGGGCTGGGCACCCGATACACCCCTTCCTGCCATGATTGATACCCAGTGGGCAAACGGGCCATGGGGGAAGAGGATGGACACATCCTATGAACTCTCCAATTTGTATTCAAGAATGTGCTGGGTGGCAGCTAGACCGTCCACTTCCAAATACCTTACTGACTACAGAAAGAGAGGAGCCAAGAGAGTGCCAAGACACCAGTTTCCTTTTCTCCCCTCGAGAGAGCCCGAGTGGGGAGGGGCCAGGCTAGCTGGACAGACCAGGAAGGCACACAGAATCCAGCATCTGGGGTCATAGGAATGTTCTAGGTCTCCACTGGATTGTGGGTTACCAGGCTGTACATGCTTGCCAAAGCTTGGTGAACTGTACACTAAAAATGTGCACATTTTCCCACATGCAAATTACACACAAAAATATTAACTCAGAAAAACATAAACACTTGAGAAGCAAACATGCCGACTGTCCTAGTGGGAGTTTGGCCGCAACAGAATGAGAATCCAGTGTCCTGCAGACCCCAGCCCCTGCTAGTCTGGGAAGGGAAACGGGAGCCCTTCTCATACACTCACCAAACAGGCTGCTGAGCGAGGAGTCAGTGGAGTCACTGGGGTACCACTGGGGGTCGTGGGTGGGAGAGGCGATCCAGTTTGGCTGGGGGCTGCTGGATGGGGAGGGAAGGCTCTTGGAACTGTCACTGCCATTCAGTTTTGCTGGAGAAAGAGGAACCCCTTCACCTGCCAACCAAGACCCCAGATCAGAAACGTCTTGTTGTGGAGTGGTGAACAGCACCTCACTTCCCCAGCCCACCATGGAAAAGGCAGCAGGAATGCAGGGCTCTGCCCTGCTGAACCAGATGGATGGCGTGACTCTGCAGGTAAGGAGTGCAGCACCTGCAGGACAGCTCCATGGGGCGGGAGGGCGTGGTGCACAGTGAAGGTAATGGCACTGGCGACCACGTATTCCACGAGTCATTTCACAGCACCCACAGCAGCCCTCTGAGCTGTACCTTATTCCCAATTTACTGCTCAGGAAAGGGAGGTTCAACAGGTTGGTGACCTGTCCAAGGCTACATGCTAACACACTGTGAACTCATGTTTCTCTGACCCCCCAGCCTGAGTCACACTAGTGACCAACAAACCACTGCTCCCAGGAGCTGTGTCCCAGATAGCAGGTGAGACCAAAGGTTCCAGGGCCCAGCCCAACTGCTTTGAAAGCTCTGCAAGACCTGCAGGCTGCCTGCTCAGATTCAAGATCAACTGTAAAAACACTTTCTGATCCCCAGGCTGAAGAGCGCCTTGTGGGGCCATCCCACTGTCTCGCCTGAAGGTCAGGAGCAAGCCTACCAGGCCATCAGCAGCCCAGGTCCCAGGTGCCTTATCCACCTACAACGTCCCTGCTGGAGGACAATTGGTAAAAATCACAGAATTCAATTCGTAAAAATCACAGTTCAATTCGTAAAAATCACAGAACTGGAATATTCCCAGCATGTGTGGCAGGTACTCAGGTGGGAGATCAACACCTCCTGATAGGAAGGGCTGTGGGTCTGCCCTGCCCTTACCATACTGGCCAGAACTGATGGCGATCTCGATGATGGAGTCACTTATGTGTGTGGCGGACTCGCCCTGGGACAGCGCATCCTCAGGCGGGCCGGGCAGGGAGATGTCAAGTAGAGCAGAGACGTCTGGTGGAGACAGCCGGGTGCTGGAGCTCTCTGACGAGGACAGCGGTGTGGAGAGCCCATTTTGGAGAGGGGCCTTGGGCAGCTCAGATAAGGAGAGAACAGAAGAGCCCTGCTGGGAGACAGGTATTTTTCAGACACAACCAGTCTATCAGAACTCACGACAAGGGAGGAAACACCAGGTGGGCAAATCAACAGGATGATGAGTGCTGCAGTCACCCCATCCTTCCAACTCAGGAATACGCTCGGGGAATTTATTCTCCCAAAACCACTCAATATGGCAGACTCAGAAGGCCAGGCCGCAGCGGCCTGGACCTGCTTTGACACCGCAAGAAAGAGGGTGGATGCTGGGGGAGTTACTAGCTGACAGCCTCCTCCTCCTCCCAGAAAGCTGAGTTTTTTCACAGCTTGTTCTGAATCAGCCCACCTTGGAGAGGGGAGGAGGGAAGTCTGAGGTAGGGGATAGCTGTATTCACATTTATCCACCCTGGGCAGCCGGCATAGCAGATGGAAGAACAGCAAAGCCACTGAGCAGTCCCAGAGAGAAGCCGGGCCACTGCAAGACTACAGGTGGCAGCTCAGGGCACTGGAGGGAGTCCTGGGGCAGCTGCTTTGTTCAGCAGCACACGAGGGCATTCTACCTGGAAACTGTCCGCCACTGGCTCCTGCTCAGGTCTCGAAGGGATGCTGACGAACGGGTCCGAGCCCTGCAGGAACAGCACGCCCATGAGCAGCTGCGAGGTGCATCGGACGCCACCCACACCCTCGCCTGCGACAGAGTTCCAGAAAGAGGTGTTCCATCCCCATGGCCTCTTAACAGTGGACGGACAGTAAACGGATAGGGGTCTAACGTCAAAAATGCTAAAAGGGCACTTTCAGGGCATGGGCCCTGTACTTGAATTTTTTTTGAGGCTTCAAAGAGTGAACTAAAGTTCCTCTATCAGGAAGTCAACTTTATAGCAGGCAGAGCTGGGCTCCCTGGAGTCTTAAGAGCATCAGCCCACCCCACCCTCCTTGGGGTGGCTCTGAAGTGGCCATGAGAGGCCAGAGAAAGCCGGTGCTTGGAGCGTCAGACAGGAGCAATGGTCAAGGCCATGCAGGGGGTTCTTTTCCCAGATGAAAAACATGCTCAGTGATGTCCGAGCCCAGCGCTGTGGGCTCACTGCTGTCAACTTGGTTACGGTCACTCTCAGATGGAGCTAGGTTTCCACATCGCCTTGGCTCTGGGTTCTCCAATGCCACATGGCAAGCCTGTCCCCACCTTTCGTCACAGAGCTTGCTCACACCATGGCAGCCCTGGTCTGGTGACTCTCCTCCAAAGGCAGAACAGGAGTCCAGTGTGATCTCAGCCACATGGCTTTGGTGTACATACCAGAAGTTGGTACTAAGGCTGAAAAGCCCATCTAAACATACTCACCCCCATGGCGGGGAGGGCGTCTCCATTCTGGTGAGCTCCAGTGGAGTCCTGCCCAGAGACGGCACCTGTCACCTCGTCTGAAGACAGTGGAGAGATGCCAGACAAGCCCTCGGTGTCCAAGGCAGGGAGGGGGTTCCCGGGGAGGATGCCGGCACTCGTAGCTGCTAAGTCGATAGTACCTGGCAACAGAAAGGACACTGCACATCTCTGCTCTGCTGACAACCCATGGTATGTCCCAAGAGGGCTCGGGGAACAGCTTCTCCCTCACACCTCATGTCAATGCTTGAGCCAAGGGTTTGGATGTTCTCGGTGAAGGGTAATGAGACATTATGATTTGGAGAAGAAAACATTCAAAAAACCTGGTCACAAAAACATCCCTCATAGGCTCACTCAGTGGCTGTGGCCATGCAGGTACAGACTTACTGGCCAGGTGACTCGTGGCCTGGGGTGGAAGGACCTTGGGCACGATCGGCCGAGACAGAGCTGCTTTGGTCAGAGAAGACTGGATGGGCCGGAACGAACCTCTCCCTGCGAGGGCGAGGGCAAAAGCAGACATGTCGAGCCCGCCCACCGTGCCCTCACAGCAGGACGGGGCCGCAGGGGGCTTCCTTTACAGCCACTGTTGGGAGTGTGGAAGCTGAGCCAAGCTGAAACCAGCGAACATCCCAAATGCTAATGTGAGGAGTCAGAGGTCACATAGGCCCCCAAAGTCACACAAGCTCTGGCACCCACCACTGTACCTCCCAGGAGCTACTGGAAGGCTGCAATCACCACTGTCATCCTGCGGAAATGGCTCTTTAAGGGTGACAAGCCCCTGAACTGAGGAACAGGCCCCGGGGCAGTCACAGCATCAGATTCTGGACTAAGATTCTGCCACTGCAATTTGGTTTTATCTTGCCAGGCTTTCCACAGTTGAAAATGGAAAAGTAGGCAGGAGAAAAAGCAATCGACAGCTGTATAAGGGTCTTGCAATATGTCAGTGAGAGATGTGGAAGTCAAGACTGGTAGAAAAGGTAAGTCACAGAGTATGTGTTTCACTAGAAGCCTCTCCCTGTGTTAAGATCTACTGCCAGGAGCCAAGGCCCCCCACTAAACGTACAGACTGATGGAAGCATAATCCACACACCCCAAGAACACATCCATTCCATAAAACAGCTGGCAAGATGTTACATACAGAGAGCACATAAGAGATGCTCCAGTAACTCAAACCAAGCCAACCGCCCCACACAGGGCCATCAGAGGCTACAGACGAAGGGGCACCCTCTGGACTAACTGCCTCGCCCACCAAGGCAGTCCGTGGCCCAGTACATAGGGCACATTAGGTATTAGTCAGTAGAATGAACAAAGGAATACCTAAAAATAAGCCATGGAAATAAGCACCTATTGTTTCCAAAGCCAAGGCCCTCAGGTGAGGAGGAGGGAAAAGCTACCCCAGAAAAGCTCTAGGTCCTTACCAGTTACGGAAGAGTTAGACAGGATGGAGAAGGAACAAACGTTGTGGGACTGGTTTTCTGACGGTCTAGGGAGCAGCGTCCTCTGTGGTAGAAAAATGGCAAACAAGGTGATGAAACTCCTATGCCAAAAGATGACTCCAGAACCAGGTTACATAGGAATGTCCCAAGGAAGAGGGTGCCTAGCATAGCCAGGTGGGGCTCTTTTTCCAGAGCCAATGACACAGGGTGTCTCAGACAGGTCCTGTGCACCCCCAGCCCCAGTTAGGTCCTCTCTGAAACAAACCTAGTTTTCCCAGGGAAAACATTTCCCAGGGAGGAATGTCAGAGTGATCCACTTTTTTTTTTTTTGGATGGTTTCTCATTCTGTCCCCCAGGCTGGAGTACAGTGGCACGCTCACTGAAACGTCTGCCTCCCAGGTTCAAGCGGTTCTGCTGCTTCAGCTTCCCAAGTGGCTGGGATTACAGGCACTCAGAACATGCCCAGCTAATTTTTGTATTTTTGGTAGAGACGAGGTTTCACCATCTTGGCCAGGCTCAACTCCGGCCCTCAGGTGATTCACCAGCCTCAACCTCCCAAAGTGCTGGGATTTACAGGCATGAACCACCGCACCCGGCCTGATCCACTTTCAATCCAAACTTTCTTTTAGATTTGGCTAGACTGCAACAAGTCATATAAACCTGTGTATAATCATTAGATACGGACTTTTTTTTTTTTTTTGGATATGGACTTTTATGAGTGACACCCCCCATTCTGGGCTTCCTCACATGGGGTGAAGAAAATAAAGTCACTGCCTGTAACACACAGGCACCAAAGGGCATGAGGCACCCCTTCACAGGGCTTTTGTGAGGGAATAATTAGGCTGAATGTGCTATGACAGGTTTCAGTGACAAGGACTATCTCGGAGAAACTGCGTTCATCACTGAAACTGTTAGTAATCAAGATAAAACATGAACAAAAAAGTGTTGGTCAAACTCCAAGTGTCTGAGGCACTCTGGCCTCCGGGGGTACCACTGCAGTTCTTTACCCTTTGAGATGCCCCAGGACACTGGCGCTGGAGAAACTAGACGGGAGGTGCTACTAGAGACAGAGGCAGGCTGTGGCCTAGGAGCACAAGCTTTCACCCAAGGCTACGCACTTTGTAGCACAGATTAGCACACTTTTTCTGTAAAGGAGCAGGCAGGAAATATTTTAGGTTTCGGGGTCCGTACTTGACCACACCCATGTGGAAAACAGTAGATAGTACAGAAATGAATAATCATGGCTGTGTACCAGTAAAACTTTATTTACAAAAATATTAAGTGGAGGGCCAGGCACGGTGGCTCACACCTGTAATCCAGCACTTTGGGAGGCCAAAGTGGGTGGATCACCTGAGGTCACGAGTTCGAGACCAGCCTGACCCACATGTTGAAACCCCGTCTCTATTAAAAAAAAAACAAACAAAAAACAAATATTAGCCAGGTGTGGTGGTGCATTCCTGTAATCCCAGCTACTCAGGAGACTGAAGCAGAATTGCTTGAACCCGGGAGGTGGAGGTTATAGTGAGCCGAGATTGTGCCATCGTACTCCATCCCGGGGGACAAGAGTGAGACTTCATCTCAAAAAACCAAAAATGTTAAGTGGAAAAGACCACATACTGCATGACCCTATTTATAGGAAATGCCCAGAATAGACAAATCCATAGAGACAAAAAGTGGATTCGTAGTGGCCAAGGGCTGGAGGTTCTGAGAAGACAATGTGAGTTCAAAGGTGCAGTGTTTCCTTTCTGGGTGAGAACATTCTGGGATTAGACCCCTGGTGATGGTTGTACAACCCTGTAACCACTGAGTCATATACTTTAAATGGGCAAACACTATGATATGTGAATTGTCTATCTATAAAGCTGTTTCAAATTAAACAAAACAACAGTCAGGCTGGAACTGGCCCCTGGGCCACAGCATCTTTCTTCCTAAGACCTTTCATGAATCTCTCATTTATAAACTCACTAATCTCAAGAGAGAAAGAGATTTCTAAGAGTCTAGACTACAAAAAGAAACCTGTGCATTAATCCGAAATAACACACATCCATAAATTTCTAAGGCCATAATTATCTCAGACTTCCCACCTCACTTCTGTACTATTTAATTATTATTATTATTATATTTTTTGAGACAGAGTCTCGCTCTGTTGCGCAGGCTGAAGTGCAGTGGCATGATCTCAGTTCACCGTAAACTCTGCCTCCAGAGTTCAAACAATTCTCTGCCTCAGCCTCTCCGGTAGCTGAGATAACAGACACCTGCCACCACATCCAGTTAATTTTTGTACTTTTAGTAGAGATGGGTTTTCACCATCTTGGCCAGGCTGGTCTTGAACTCCTGACCTTGTGATCCACCCACCTCGGCCTCCCAAAGTGTTGCAATTACAGGCGTGAGCCACCGCACTCAGCCTCACTTTCTGTACTTTCATGCCTCAAAATGCCAAGGTCTTCTTCTGAGAGGTCTCTGAGTCCCTGGATGTCCCTCAGGCATACAGCATCCTCGGGTCCTCCCAAGGAGCTCATGAGAAGCCTGGGCTCTGGCCAACACACATGTCTGCCAACTGCTCCCACTGACTAAATGTTAAAAAAAATAGGTGTTCTTATAGTCCATAAATACATCCCAGCCGGGCACATTGGCTCACACCTGTAATCCCAGCACTTTGGGAGGCTGAAGTGGGCAGATCACCTGAGGTCAGGAGTTGAGACCAGCCAGACCAACATGGAGAAACCCCGTCTCTATTAAAAATATAAAAATTAGGCCGGGCGCAGTGGCTCACGCCTGTAATCCCAGCACTTTGGGAGGCCGAGGCGGGTGGATCATGAGGTCAAGAGATCGAGACCATCCTGGTCAACATGGTGAAACCCCGTCTCTACTAAAAATACAAAAAATTAGCTGGGCATGGTGGCGCGTGCCTGTAGTCCCGGCTACTCAGGAGGCTGAGGCAGGAGAATTGCCTGAACCCAGGAGGCGGAGGTTGCGGTGAGCCGAGATCGCGCCATTGCACTCCAGCCAGGGAAACAAGAGCGAAACTCCGTCTCAAAAAAAAAAAAAAAAATATATATATATATATATATATATATATATATATATATAAAAATTAGCCAAGTATGGGGGAACATGCCTGTAATCCCAGCTGCTTGGGAGGCTGAGGCAGGAGAATCGCTTGAACCCGGGAGGCAGAGGTTGCAGTGAGCCGAGATTGTGCCATTGTACTCCAGCCTGGGCAACAAGAACCAAACTCCATCTCAAAAAAAAAATCCCAATCTGGGACTTTCTTTGGACTTGAATCCCTATAACTGTCTTTTCTGCAAGTGGTTTTCTACATTGTTGAAAGATTACCTATACTTCTGGGTACCATTAAGTTCACTATTATTACTTGTATTTACCCTACTCACAAGAGGGAAGGAAGGGGCAGGGATTTTCCCCCATTTGACACGATGAAAACCTGACAGAGGGAAGAAACCCCATGTCCCGGTTGGCGCAGGCAAGAGGCAGCACATTCAGACTTGACGAGAACCTGACCTGGACCACCAGTGGCTTCCGAAGGTGCCGGTTCCGCAGCTTCCGGGGCTTTGGCAGGAAGAAATCTGACTGCATCTGTAAGGGAGCAGTGCACGGCACCTGAAGGTATGCTCTCCACACCACAGGGAAACCCGTATGGGACGGCCTGGCCCCACACACTCACGCTGATGGAGTTCAGATGCTGGCGGAAAGTCAGCTCTGCATCTTTACTGGGAGAGAAGAGTTTGCCGTGTCGGCTGTTGGGTGGCAAGGTTGTTGGGACAGCAAAAAGGCCGCCATCTGAATCACTGCTTCCCGTGCTGGTGGGACCAGCCACCAAGAGGGGTCTTGGAGGGTTTCTCAAACCTGGTAGAGGAGAGGAAAGAATCACTGTGACGGCATTCACCTAGCAACAGGTCCAGGGTCAATAGAATTCTGTTGGGAAGAAAGTCAGAAAGACACTCTCTTGGCAACCTGTTTGGTTGTCTTGAAAGGAGATACCTCTATCTCAATCTCAGTCCCATATAAAGAATGAGTCTCATTTTTTTTTTTTTTTTGAGATGCAGTCTTTGTCACCCAGGCTGCAGTGCAGTGGCGTGATCTCAGCTCACTGCAACCTCTGCCTCCCAGGTTCAAGCGATTCTCCTGCCTCAGCCTCCTGAGTAGCTGGGATTACAGGCCCCCGCCACCACGCCTGGCTAATTTTTATATTTTTAGTAGAGACAGGGTTTCCCATGTTGGCCAGGCTGGTCTCCAACTCCTGACCTCAGGTGATCCACCCACTGTGGCCTCCCAAAGTGCTGGGTTTACAGGCGTGAGCCACTGCAACCAGCCTAAAACTCACCATAAAAATACTATGGGTTGAAAGCAAGTGAAACTGATGCCTTGGGAAACTGGTCATGCTTGTCTTGGGGTTTTATGAACCAGAAACACAATTTGTGATCCCTGAATTTTAATTATTTCCAGTACACTGCTGGGACGGGAGTACACTGTGGATTAGCAGGTTGCTCCACCGTTCTTTACAGGACTTGGGTTAACCTAGTGGCACCTCCCCTAACTAAAGGATTCTCTATTCTGATGTTAGACATGGGAAGAAAAGTAGAAAAAAAACAACCTTCACAGGGGTTTTGAACCACCAACTCAGCACATTAGGGAGGCTTTTCCTGGTCCCACGGAACAGACTCCAAAGTGACCAGACTGGCAAAGGCTGGCCTCTTGCCAACTTCTATACCCCAGGACTCCAAAGTCCTTGTGACAGGCCCTGGCATCTCCCTCCCCAGGAGGAGGCAGTAATTTCTGCACCTTCACCCTGTCAGCTAGAGAGTGGCAATCCGGACAGTGGGGCCAGGTCTCAGGTACACCTGTGCCCTTAGCTTTGGCACAGCCGCTGAAGCCCAGAATGACACCAACAGGGTGGACCAGGCACAGGGAGTGCGGCTGCCACAGCCTCACCTGAGGGGCATGGTGCAGAGCTGGGCGGGAAGGTCTTGCTGCTGCGGAGGGTGGCCTGGTTCCGAGGGCAGCGGGGGCTTCGAGAGCTGACGGTCACCACCTTCCCTGGGGGCGTTGTGGACTGCTCCTCCTGGGAGGTCCTCACTGTAGAGACAGTGTTTGCTTCCAGAGCCTGGGACAGAAATGGGCCAAACAACATCCAAACTTGGCACATGAGAAACGGCTCTGAAATATGCGCCCTGGAGAAGGCACGAGAACTTCATCAAGCCCAGAGAGCACAGTGTCATGATGGCAAAGGCTGGGGCCAGCGATGCCCAAACACTGTGTCCCTAGAGCCACTCGGCAGCTTGCCAGTTTTAAAAGTCACCCGTCAGGTAAGTAATGAAAACCACTCGCTTCCTCATAAGTACCTTTCCACATGCTACGGGAGAGATGGGACAGAAGGGACCAGCTGAAGTGCCAGCATGGACTGCAGAAAGAGATGCGGGATAGCAAGTGACAAGTATCAAGAGCTCAAAGCCATATTAAAAAGTCAGCACAAGACTGCAGTAGGCTGTCTGCTTGAGTCAGAGGAAGGAAATACAGGCAGGCTTTCTAGAAACAGATACAAGTACAGCTGAAGAATACTCTGCAGCGACGAAGCCCAACCCCGGGGGGAATGCATGCCCATGCCACAGCCCACAGAGCCTGCTGCCGTGTCGTGGGATCCCCGCCTGGCTCACCACAGAGATGCCAACACCGCTGGGAAGACTTGGCCAACATCCCAGCCTCTTGGCTCTCCTCACTCTCCTGAACACCCTACACATCCCACCTGGGAAACCTCCCTGAGGACTATGAAGCCCTCTGCCCCATGCTCTCAGCACAGCCCTGCCCGTCTGCTCACTCAGAACCTTCAGCCCCTAGTCCCCACAGCCCAGGCTTTCTCTGGGACTCTCCCACCTCATGACCCTTCCTACGCTGCCACTTCCACCTTCGACAGTGGCTCAGCAGCCCTTGGCATCTCTTGGTCTCTGGGGCTCGGGCCTTTAGGGGTGTTTGCTCATCACAGCTCTACCAGGCAAGCGACAGCACAGGGGCAGGGGACCCCACACCAGAGGTGCATCAGGCACCTAACTGTCTGTCCCGTCTGCCAGGCCCACCCCAAGTCAGCCTCTCTAACTGGCTCCCCATGGGGATGGGGATGCCCTTCTGTGTGGGATTTCTACCTCCTCTGTGTCCCAGGACTGACACCTGCACTCTCAGGAGCCTGCCCTGGCCCCTTCCTTGGGACACCTGAACGCAGGCACCACATCTCTCCATAGCCCCTACCATGAGACTGCCAAAAGCCAAACCTGAAGAGCCTTCTAAAGACGCTGTCTTGCTGGTCACCACTTGCTCAACCTAGCATTCTCTCCACATTACCCCGAGCCACTTTCACCCTCAGGCCTGGCCTCAGAGGCACCTGAGTCAGGCTCAGTCACCACCAACCCTGCAAGAATCTTCCCCGTAACCAGGCCCTGTGATGCTGCCCGGGCAAATGTGCACTTTCCTGCCACCTGCTGATGGACCAGGTCTCGGGGGCAAGCCACACACGGGCTGTGGGCAGAGGGCAAAAAACCAGCGGAAGGTGTGGTGGATGCAGGCAGAAGCAAGCACCACTCAGAAGCCATGAGGCGGCCTGTGCAGAGCAGCGAGTGGGTGGGGGCTCATGAGTGCCCAAATCCCAAGTCCCCCACCAGCACAGGGACATCCCTCACACACATTCTGACTGTGAAACAGCGCCCAGGGGCCCACAGTGACCTGCAGCTCCTGCCCCAGCCCGTCATTCCAGCCCCTCGCTCATGTCCAGCAGTTTGCCAGTGTCCAAACATGCCGTTTCAGGATGGTCTGCCATGAGACCTTGCTCTCTTGCACCCAGAAATCCTATCCGACTTGGAGGCGTAGGGTAGGATAACTCCCAGCAGCACCCCTTCTGCACCCCACCTGTCGGCTCCACCAACTGGCCTCCCTGTGGTAGGGGACCCTTTCCTAGACTCAGGGCCCACCCACACGCTGCAGGGACCATCCTATCTGGTCCCCAGCTCCACTCCTCCGCCACAGCACCACATCCCTGCTCTCCTCTGGCCTCGCCACACACCATCTGCACAGCAGCTAGGATGGTCTTTCTAGAGCAAGAACTACACCCGTCGTTCCCTCTGTGGAGACCTGTAACAGTGATTAGATAAGAAAGAAGGCTAGCTCAGCTCCAGGCCTCACTCTGTGACCCTTGGTCCTGTGCACGTTGTCCCCTCTGCTGCACACTTGGGCTTGGCAGACTTGCAGGAGCATGAGGGCTCACGAGGTACTGCCTGCCTGCTGGCTGTCTTCTTTCAAGCGCCACACAGAAGAGAACACCCACGCCACGCCACTCATCATTGCACTTCTGGCGCCATGTAGGGGAGTGGGGACACTCATCAAGTGCCCTAAGATCCCTACTCGAGGGAGAGGAACATGATCTGTGGATAGCCTATCTCCCGGATCATTTAGGTCCCTGCCTCTCCTCCTTCCTTGAGGTCCTGTGGGCTCCCTGCAATAGGACCCTCTCTCTCTTGTCTGGACCCCACCTGTGCTGGCCCTAGCTGCCCAGCTGGGAGTCCTCCAAGACTGGGCCTGGCTTCCCTTGGGCCACCAAAGGGGCTGGGCCCTGACCCACTCACCAGCTTGGGGTTGACCTCGGTGGAAATGAGCTTCAGGAGGCAGCTGAGGAGGCGCTGCTTGTGGAGGGTGGTGGCTGGGGAGCCGGGGCGGGGGTCCTGGCGGCTGGGCCCCAGCCAGTCGTACTCCAGCTGCAGCTTGCTGGGCTTGCCCATCATGAGGTAGACTTCGGCCAGCGTGAGGCTTTCAGAGGTCTGCAGGTTCCAGCCCTCCTCACGGAGCTGCTGTGCCAGCCGGCTGGCAGGGACCTCCTTTGGGGGTCTGGCGGCAGGCTGTCCCTGAGGCAGCGGAGGCTCGGCAGGGCTCCCCTTTTCCTGGACCTCCTCTGCAGGTGCATCTGCCGAGTCTTTAGTGCAAACATCTGGCAAGAGCCCGGGGCTGGGCCTCGGGGCAGGGCCAGCGAGGGCAAGGTCAACAGGCTCCTTGCTGACAGGAGCCAGCACCTCTGGGGAGGCTGCCCGGCCCGGAGGAGGCTGCTCGCTCCCAGGCCGCATGTCTACACAGCGGCACTGCTCGGGGACAATGAGGTCCTGGCAGGATTTCAGGTAGCGGGGCAAGGGGTCTAGGAGCGAGAGCTCGTCCTCCAGGTCTGGAAGCTGACCACAGGCACACGGCAAGGCCCCTGGCTCCCGGATGGGGCTGTCCCTGCCTTCTGTAGGGGTCTTCTCAGGACATGGCCCAGTGTCCTGCTGCCTAGCAGGAGGTCTGTCGGGAGCGTCCGGGCTACTCAAGCTTAGGATGGCCCCTTCCCCAGGGGTGCTTTCGGGGGAACTCTCTCCAGAGCTCTGTGAGGCGTCAGCCGCAGGAGGGGGCCGCCCCGCACCCTTGCCCTCAGCTCCGCCCCGAGGGCATTTCACCTGGCCCCGGGCTGTGCCCTGCCCACTCTGGATGCCCAGGATTTGGGCTGGGGGCAGCACATGGGCATCCTTGGCACTCTGCTTGCACCGGCCGCCCTCCTGCCAGTGCACCGTACAGAAGGCCTTGGAGTGTACCACGCGGGCCACGCCTGGCAGTGGCGTCAGCGTGCAGTTCTCGCCTGGGAACAAGTGCAGAGTCACCTTCTCCTGCATCGGTGGGGAGCAGGAGTCTTGCAGCTGCCGCTCCTCGAGTGTCTTCCTCTGAGTGCCCGTCAAGGAAGGCCCACGCTGACTGGCACTGAGGTCAGGATGCTCACCTGGCACACTGCTACACACATGAGCCATGCTCCCCACTGGCATCCCCCAGGGTTTGGATCATGCCCCGACCCAGAGCTTTCCTCATACCACTACCAAACAATGCTGATCTGGGAACTTAGCACCTTCAGGAAATTCACACCTGACACACACGTCACCTGTGTGGGGAATAGGCAGGGCTGGGAGCCAACCATGGACATGAAGAAGGCGGGGCTGACCCTTGGTCGTTTGGCTCAACCTGCTGGTAGGAAAGCTTTGGCCACACCCCGTGGGCCAGACACAGGCCACTGCCATCGTGGAGAGCTGGCTGTGACTGAGTCCTAGCACTGCAAGGCCGTGGAGGGGGCTCCATACTCAGGGAACAAGGGGTTCCAGGTTATGGTTCCAGATGTTCGCCAGGTCACGGCACAGCTGCTCTGCCCATGGGAACCACGACGATGACAGGTACTGGGAAGCATGGTCTGTCCCCTGGCAGCAGAGGCTGTTCAGCCTGGAGGGATTGCTTTAGTTGGAAAAGGATACAACTCGCACCTCATGGAGCGCCCACTTCTGCTTCAGGAACTCGATGAGGCTGGAGACCTTTCGATGCAGCTCCACGATCATCCTAGTGAGATGAAAGACAGGAGGAAGTGAGACTCATAGAACAGGGAGTGAACCTTCTCATGGGCCCTGAGGCTGCCTACAGCAAGATGGCGCCAAAAGAGACAAGGGACCTCCAGAGGGGCACTTGAGAGCTGGCACCCGCAGAGCCCTTGGCTCCTGTGGCTAAAAACCAGCCTTTCCAGCTGGGACTGCCAATGTTTCACATGGGGCTGATGGAAGTAACACAGGGATCCTGAGCATTCTCTGCTAGCACAAGGTCTCCGCCAGGGTGCGGGCACTGGCACACAGCCTCTGCCTAGCCTACAAGCTGCTTCTGGCTTCAAGAAGGGTGGGCCTGGACAGTGTTAATAAATTCTAAGGGAAAAAATACACAAACAGAAGGAATGAAGCGCTGACACATACTATAACATGGCGAACCTCAAAAGCATCATGCCCAGTGACAGGCACCAGGCCCAGAGGTCTCTAGGTGTGATTCCATTTCTATGAAACCTCCAGAGTAGGTAAAGCCACTGAGACACAAAGGGGACTGGGAGAGGCCAGCAGCCGTGAGACAGTAAGACTCGAGGAGTGAGTGCTAACGGGCAAGAGGACTCTTCTAGGGTGATGAACACGTTTTGGAACTGGACAGAGGTGATGGCCGCAGAACTCTGTGACTGTGTTAAATGCCACTGAACTATACACTTAAAAATGGTTAAGTTCATTTTATGATATGTGAATTTTACCTCAAAAATTTTTTTTTTTTTTTTTTTTTTAGACACAGTCTCGCTCTTTCACCCAGGCTAGAGTGCAGTGGCACGATCTCAGCTCACTGCAACCTCCACCTCCTGGGTTCAAGTGATTCTCCCGTCTCAGCCTCCTGAATAGCTGGGACTACAGGCACACACCACCATGCCCATTCAAATTTTGTATTTTTAGTAGAAATGAGTTTCACCATCTTGGCCAGGAAAGTCTCAATTTCTTGACCTCTGCCTGCCTTGGACTCCCAGGTACTGGGATTACAGGCATGGGCTTCTGTGCCTGGCTACCTCAATTTTATAAAATGTACAAATCGAAAAGGGTCCATTCCACGTGGCGCCTTGGGTGTATGCGCACCACAAATCTCCAAGAAGCGGGTAGGAGAGAGATGAGTGGTATGGACCTTACTGGGGGATGAGAGGGAGGCTCTGCAGCCACTCCTCTTCCCACCTCGACATCTCCCCATGGCCTGCACATGGCCTGGGGGATCCCTGCCCAGGTGCAGGACCACAGCCCAGTGCTCCCAGGACTCCAGTCCCTCCACACTGCTGTGTCCTCGTGTGATGACAGAGCACAGGAGTGAACCTGCTTCTCCTGGGAGTTCCTCGAGGGAAACACACACACATACCCTCCAGTCCTGCTCAAGCAGTTGGGACTGTTCTGCATGCCAAAGGCCTTGTTACCTGAGGCGCGGGTTCTGGGCAAGGCTCTGCACGCGGGCCCAGGCGTGGTTGTTTCGTGGCTGTAGCTCTATAGGGACTTTCAGGGGCAGGCGCACTGGCTTCTGGTCCTCTTCATCACTCAAGCCTGCAACAGAAAGGAATCGTTAAAGTTTAGCGCAGACCGACCTTAAGGTAGAAAACCAAGCACTTGGCCAGACAAACCAGTGAAATGAGAGCTGTGAGCAGGCCGCCTTACAGACAGAGGCAAGGACAGCAGAGAAACCCCAGCAAAGAAGAAACTCTGATGTGGTCGCTCATGGGTTTGCAAAGGCAGAGCCACAGACTGGTCCAGAGAGGCCATGGGAGACTCAATCCTGACAACAGGTAACTGGTCTGCTGACTGCTACCATGGCTCTGAGCTCAACTTGACTGAGTGGACGCAGGAAGCATTTCAAGTTCAAGAGTCGTCCATTTGCAGCCTTGGGATTAAGCAGGGCCAGACACAAACCAACTGCAGCAGAGACCCTGTAGCTCAGCCTGCCCATCACTGAATGAGACACCACAGGCACCGCCTCTGGTCCTGGGAGCGCCCCATTCACCTACCATCCGGATCGCAGAGCTTCTTCAGGGCCCGGCACATGGGCGCTTTGATCCGCAGGTTCCGCCCTTTGTAACGTACAGTGGTGGCCCTGGGAAAAGAGTTTTGAAGGAACGCTGAGGCCTGTGAGTGAATGGAATGAGTGAACGGAAGGATGGAAGGGCCAGCACGCCGAGAGGCATGGGCTAGGCAAGGTGAGGCCTGGCCAAGCATCCACCCCAGCCTATGGAGCCCACCTGAGTCAGTGTGAGGACAAGGCTACAAACAAGAGGTGCTGACTGCACATCCTGTTGCTTTCCTGACCATGCTTCACACTCCAAGGGACACCTGCTTTTTAAAGAAAATCTACTGTGCCTTCCTGCCTTGGTGACTGGCCTGGTACAAGCTGATGTCCCATCCCTGGAAAAGCCACTGTCCTGGGATGCCCTCAGATGACTGACCTCCTCTCCACTGCCCCAGCCCTGCGCAGTCCTCCTGCCCTGCACCCTCAGAGCAAAAGCTCTCAGTACTCCTCTCCATGACTTCTCAGTCTACCACTCTGTGACCTCTGTGTGACCTCAACCCACCCCTACACAACCTCTGTGACCTCAGTCCACCTCTCCATGACCTCTGTGTGACCTCAACCCACCTCTAGATAACCTCTGTGTGAGCTCAGTTTACCTCTGCGACTTCTCAGTCCACATCTATGTGACCTCTCTGTGAGGACTTTCTAAGAGAAAAAGCAACTTATTCCAAGGAGTGGATCCCAGTCAAGAAAGCCTCTGGCCAGCAGTCCACTGGCTGGTGAATGACTATGGGCTTGTGTGTTTTACAAAATGCTCAGGGCAGCCAGACGCGGTGGCTCACGCCTGTAATCCCAGCACTTTGGGAGGCCAAGGCAGGCGGATTAAGTGAGGTCAGGAATTTGAGAACAGCCTGACCAACATGGAGAAACCCCATCTTTACTAAAATTACAAAATTAACCAGGTATGGTGGTGCATGCCTGTAGCCCAGCTACTCGGGAGGCTGAGGCAGGACAATCACTTGAACTAGGGAGGCAGAGGTTGCAGTGAGCCAAGATCGCACCATTGCACTCCAGCCTGGGCAACAAGAATGAAACTCCGTTTCAAAAAAAAAAAAAACAAAAAACTCGGGGCATGTGTGTGATTTTGTTTTTATTATTTTCTGTCTTAACCAATTTTATCAATTCACCAACTCCCAGTTGCACACATGTCAGGTAGGAAAGTTGCTGTTCAATTTCTAAGAAAGAGTCCATGAAAAGCCACAGAACACATATAGCATGATTCTAAAGATGCGTAAAAAATTACCTGTTCGTCTCTGTATGTATCTGTATTTATACCTGTACAGTTACTTACGTAAATTCCCTAAGAAAAAAAAAAATCAGAAAGACACACATAAAATGACTGTAAGTGGTTAACTCTGATGAGAAGAGATGAGCAGGATGGGGTGGTGGAGAGGGTCTTATATGTTATCCATGTGTCGTTTGAAAGCTGTTTAAGACTTATATTTATGCATTACTTGTATCATTTTTAGAAGTCTTATTCCAATACAAAGATGACCAAACTTAGAGATCAAAATGGGAACAAGTATCTGAAGCAAGTGCTGCACGGGAGGGACTCTGGAGATGATTCCCGCAGTTTGGCTGGAAAAGCAGCCTCCGCTGAGCTCGTCTAATTGGAAGAGCCAGTTCTGGCAGTGTCAGACAGGAGAAAAGGGCGATGCCATAATCTCCATATCCCAGTATACAAAGCTGCAATCCCCTTCCTTTTAAAAGGGTGCTAGCTCTAATTTCAGCATTATGCAGTCTCAATACCCCACACAGTAGATTTCACCATCACCCCAAAAACCTAAGACTTTAATCAAGTGTTTATGAGGCCACACAAGCCAGGTACAGTGGCTCACACCTGCAATCCTGGCACTTTGGGAGGCCGAGGCAGGCGGATCACCTGAGGTCAGGAGTTCGAGACCAGCCTGAAAATCAGGTTGAGAAAGAGTTTTGCTCTTGTTGCCCAGGGTGGAGTGCAATGGCGCAATCTCGGCTCACTATAATCTCTGCCTCCTGGGCTCAAGCGATTGTCCTGGCTCAGACTCCCAAGTAGCTGGGACTATAGGCGCCCATCACCATGCCTGGCTAATTTTTTGTATTTTTAGTAAAGACAGGGTTTCTCCATGTTGGCCAGGCTGGTCTCAAACTCCTGACCTCAAGTGATCTGCCTGCCTCAGCCTCCCAAAGTGCTGGGATTACAAGAATGAGCCACCGCGCCCAGCCAGAATCAATTCGAAAACAATCTCCTCCAGTGACGTGCTCTGGAAACAAATGGACGTTTCTGCTCACCGTTTTTTATTCCATCTGCCCCAAAACAAAACAGTAGTAGGCAAGATTTAAACAGCTGGTGGAGCTGTGTCATGTGGCACCTGTGTTTTCGATAATCACAATTTCCGTTAAACTGCTATTTTGTGACTTCCTTTTTTTTTCCTTCAGTGAAAATGAGTGCACCCTTCTGCATTCACATGGAACCATTCTGAGATTACAATCCTCCATCTTTTCTCTCAAATGGAAATCCCATGACCAACTAGAGGCTATGGCACTGAACAAGATGAAGAGCCATGTTAAAGTGTAAAAGCCGGGAGGAGACTCAGGTTTGGCTGCAGTCCCAGGACATGGTCCATACTTTCCCAATCTCGCACCGGCCCGGAAGCTGTAAGACAGGCCACGACTTCCCAGACAGGCCCGGCACAGGGGTTTAGGAGGTGCTATCTATAGAAGAATCCCAAGCTGACCTCTACGTGAGCCATCAAACAGAGGCTCTATTTACACCCTTCCATGAGTAGCTTTTTTTTTTTTTTTTTTTAAGGCAGAGTCTTTTACTCTGTCACCCAGGCTGGAAAGCAGTGGCACAATCTCAGCTTACTACAACCTCTCCCTCCTGGGTTCAAGCGATTCTCGTGCCTCGGACTCTCAAGTAGCTGGGACTACAGGCATGTACCACCACACCCAGCTAATTTTTGTATTTTTAGTACAGATGGGATTTCACCATGTTGGCCTTCCTGGTCTCCAACTCCTGGCCTCAGGTGATCTGCCTGCCTTGGCTTCCCAAAGTGCTGGGATTACAAGCGTGAGCCACCACGCCTGGCTGAACAACATTTCAACAAATAGAAAACAGAGTAATTCCTCTATGTACACAAGAGCCTGGCTTTTCTTTCTGATAGATTTATTCTCTTCTCTGCAAAGCCACTTGATAAATCTAATAAGCACATGCTAAACTTATGCCTCTGGGTCTGTAAACAACGTAGTAAGATTTCACTTTAGGTTAGACCTTTTCTAAATTCATTTACTCTTTAATTTTACAACTTTATGACCAAAAAAAGATTCATAGTTAATCGAAACAGGTCTGCATGAGAAGTGGGGGCAGCAGCAAGTAAAATGCCCCGATTGCTTTTGGGCTGAAATCCAGGGGTAGCCTCCCACAGGCACCTCGCTCATCTTCCCCATCTCTCATCTTCACAGGTTGCTTGTTTGTAAATGCGAATGACTGCTTGTAAAAGAATAAACACAAAAGTTGACAGAGCAGAAGGTCTGGAATGGACCCAACATGGGACAGGCAACTGATGTTTGACAAGGATGCAAAGGCCACTCAATGGAGAATGGACAGTCCTTTCAGATGGCATGGGAACACCTTGATACCCACAGGCAAAAAGCAAAGCTCCAGCTAAACTTCACATGGCACACAGTTAATTCAAAGCAGATCATAGATTTAAACGTAAAACTATAAAACTTTTAGAAGAAAACATTGGGGAACATCGCTGTGCCCTTGGGTTAGGCAAAGAGTTCTTAGATGCCATATTAAAAGCACAAACCATAGAAGAAAACAGCGATAGAGCGGACTTCATCAAAGCGAAAGACTGTCCTGCGCAAGACAGTAAGTGAACAAAAAGGCCACAGGCTGGGATAAAGGATTTGCAGATGGCGTATCTAACAGAAGACTTGTATCTATAATATACAAAGAACTCTTTAAACTCAAGAAGAAGAAAACAGGCATAAGATATAAGATATGAACAGGCACTTCACCAAAGATACACAGACAGCAAATAAGCATGAGAAAGACACTCGGCGTCATGAGTCATCAGGGAAATGCGTCAAAACCACAGCACGATGCCACTCCACATCTACCAGGGTGGTTCAGAAAGACAACCCCCAAACACGCCAAGTGCCGGGGAGTGTGGGGAGCAACTGCAACTCTCCTGGAAGAGTGTGGCAGCTCCGTGTCGAGCCAAACACACACTCCCACCTCCTCTCTCCTAGGGACCAAAAACCACACACACACAAAAACCTGGAGGCAAAGCCCGTCACTTCTTCACCAACACTACAACACTGCAAACAGCCCTGGGGCCCTCCACTCTGAAGGAATAACACAGTGCAGCACGTGAAAGTCGTGGGACACAACTCGGCAGGTAAAAGGGACAAGCTGCCGATCCACAAGACAACATGGAAGAGCCTTAAGGGCACAATGCTGAGTGGGGACGCCCATGTCAGAAGGCGGCATACCATGATCCCCTGTAGATGGCTTTCTGGAAGTCAAAATTACAGGGAATGGAAAGTGGTGCAGAGGTTGGGGCAAGGTATGGGGGACGTACAGAAGGGGATCTGGCAGTGTTCCACATCTTCACACTGGTGGCAGCTACACAACTCTATGAATTTCTTAAAACTTCCAGGACTGTAAGTGAAGAGGCCAATCTACAAAGACTAAGCTCAGGATGATTCCAGTGTGACAACACCACTCTAGGAAAGGCGCAGCTAGAAAGAGAGGAAAGATCAGTGCCTGCTGGGGGCACTAGGAAGTGACAGGCAGAGCACAGGGTGTTCAGGGCAGTGAAATGCCCCTGTGTGACACCCACATTTCATTACCCATGTGTCCAAACTCAACAGATGGCACAACGCTGAGTGGGCCTGTAAGTAAACTATGAACTCTGGGTGATGAGGAAGGGTCAAGAAAGGCTCACAAATTGTGATAAAAGGACCACACCAATGCAAAGTGTTAATAACACCTGTAATCCCAGCATTCTGAGAGGCCAAGGCGGGAGGATCACCTGAGGTTGGGAGTTAGAAACCAGTCTGGCCAACATGGTGAAACCCCATCTCTACTAAATATACAAAGAATTAGACAGGTGTGGTGATGGGCACGTGTTAATCCAGCTACTCGGGTGGCGGAGGCAGGAGAATTGCTTCAACCCAGGAGGAGGAGGTTGCAGTGAGCCAAGATTGTGCCACTGCACTCCAGCCTGGGCGACAGAGCAAGACTCCGTCTCAAACAAACCAAACCAAACCAAACCAAACCAAACCAACAAAGTGTTGATAACAGGGGAAATCATGTGTGGGGTGGGGTGGGGTGGGGGGGGTGCGTAGCTCTGTACACAATTTTTCTGTAAACTTAAAACTGCTCTAAAAAATAAAATATTTTAAAACAAACTTGTAGAACTGTATGACAAAAAGCACAAAAAAATAAATATGTTAAAATACTAAAGTAAAAAATGGGTCGGGTGCAGAGGATCATGCTTGTAGTATCACTGCTTTGAAAGGCCAAGGTGGGAGGATAACTTGAGCCCAGGAGTATGAGATCAGCCTGGGCAACACAGCGAAACTGCCTCTGTTGAAAAAAGGAAAGAAAGAAAAAGAATGTACACACCACACCACCTCCAACACTACACCCATCTCTTCTCCACAGGGAACAAGAGGCACGACTTTACCCACAACGAGCGGCTCTCCTGCTGCAAAACTCTCCACTACCTTCCTGAGACACAGTGAGGGCTGCTGGAACCCCTCCTGTGCTCAGAGTCAGGCCGGGCCCAGCCCTCCAGCCTCAGTTCTGCTACCTCCTCCTCTCCTCCCCTCCCCTCCCCTCCTGAGGCTTCTACCGCCCAGTTTCTCCTTCCCACCTTCCTTTGCCTGGGCCAGGTGGTTCCCCAACTCTCTGTGTAGCCCCCGCTCGCCTCTTTAAGACTTTGGCCACCATTGTGGAAAAGCCTTCCCTAGATATCCTAGGCAGGTTCCCTTCCTGCCAGCTGCCATGTCTGTATCCATTTGCCATGTCAATTTCATGGTAACTTTCATCCCCAGTTACTGTACTTGTCTACATGGCACGCAAAGGTGACATGCTCAATGGACCTGCGTCAGCTGCCACAGCACAGCTGCCACCACTGCATAACCAGCACCCATTCTTATGCCAGGCACACACAGACACCCAGGCATTTCTAGAGCCAATGAACATACACCCCAGCAGCGCTTCTGCCTCAGATCTCTTCATGGGTGCAGACAGAAATCTTTCCTTGCTGGTACCATGCTGCTCCAAACCTCTTCTCCGTTCCTCACATGTCTCTGGAGGATGACAACCGGATAGGTAAGGCTGGGACCCAGAGAGTCAGGTGAGCACAGTCAGGTCCCTTAGTGCTGGCTCTCACTCTTGCTGAGGCCTCACCCAGCACTCAGTCCAGGAGCTGGCACTGCCTTCACCTGCAATTTGTCAAATCCCTGTCTACTCAGGCAAATTCTCCATCAGCACCCACACCTGAGCTCACTCTTTTGCCACATGCTCAGGGTTTTCCAGACAAACTGGAGTATGCCAGGTAGGCTACCTCGACACTGGCTTTAAAGGGCAATCAATCTTGCCATCCTGCTAACAGACCCACCTCACGGGCCCACCCTCAACGTCATCTCAGGGCCCCTCCACTGTGGAAGCACAGCAGAGAACAACAGCCGACACTAGCCATGCTGCCTCCTTACCAACAGGCCCAAGACTCGGCATGGAGGAGCTGCGGACACATGCCAGGCTCCCTCTTCGTTTGGTTCTCAGAATGGAAGATGGTATGACTGTAAATGGCACCAAGCCGTTGAGCATGCATGAGCATGCATAAGCTCACGACACATTTCAATGCCACTATCCACACACCTGCTGCCCGGGAGGACAAGGTCGGGGGGCACTGCTGCACATGACACTCAGGACAGACAGGGCACAGACCCATTCCTGTTCCTTGCCCTTCACTTGGCAGAACCACGTGAGAGTTTTTTTTCTCCCCCGAGAGGGAGTCTTCCTCTGTCGCCCAGACTGAAGTGCAGTGGTGCAATCTCGACTCCGCATCCTCCACCTCCCGTGTTCAAGTGATTCTCCTGCCGAGTAGATGGGATTACAGGCACACGCCACCACATCCAGCTAATTTTTGTATTTTTAGCAGAGACAGGGTTTCACCATGTTGCCCATGCTGGTTTCGAACTTCTGCCTCGTGATCCATCCACCTCAGCTTCCCAAAAGAACTGGGATTACAGGTGTGAGCCACCTTGCACAGTCAACCTGAAGGTTCTTTACACCAGAAGGCACTTCCCCTCTGCACACTTTAGCAAGCATCTCCAGTCCTGCAAGCCATGACCCTGTCATCACTCAGAAATCTACACTCTATCATGCAGCCCATGATCAAAGCCCCCCAATTACACCTAGAATACCCTTTGCAATCATTTCCTTCTCTTATCTTTCCTTGGGTTTTTTTTTTAAAAGGCCCAAGATCTCAACAAAGCTACTGGCTGCGTTTGTTTGTCAAGGGTCTCTGGTCCCTGGGAACTGCCTGTGCCCATGTCATCAAATGGAATCTATTTCTTAAATAAGTTCTCATGCAGATGGCACTGCAGGTGCCCCTTGCGCCCCCACTGAGCAGGATGTCTGTGCTACAGCAGAAGGAACACTCATCGGACAGGCTACCCAGCACCGTCCTCAAGCACGGAGCAAAGAGCCCAGAACTCCGGCTTCACCCCATGAATCCTGGAAGAAATGAAATAAAAGGTAAAGGAAGATTCACCCCAAGTTCAGATCCTGGGGCAGTGTTTTCCCTCATGGGACAGCCCCTTGCCTATTGGTCAGAAGGTGACATCAGAAACCACCTAAGCCCTGGATCTTAAGCCTTCTCAAGAAAGTTCCTCCAACGTGCCAAGCACTGCTCTGGATAAGCCAGATATTGCCTGAAGGAGGTGGAGCAGGACCGAGAGTGGGAAGGAAGTAGGGTTCTGAAGCTGGGAGAGGCACCTGGGCAGGGCAGTGAGCATGGCCAGTGGCCCCTGGCTGTACCCCAGACCCAATCTGGGAAGTATGTTCACTGTTGGGGCAACCTGTGCTTTCTGGTGGCTGTGGTCAATCACAGGTCTTTCCCATGGTAATGATGCCTACAACCCAGTTACAGTTGCTGGCTCCAGGCTGGTGGCAGCTCATACAGAGCCTCGGAATCATGCCCAACACCTGCTGTGCTGGGAATGCAGGGAAAGGCCCTGTGCTGGCCCAGCAGGCACTGCTCCCACTGGGGCAGGGAAGGCTCCCAGGTCATCAGACACAAGCCTGGGGGAGAAGGGCCAAGGGGAGAAGCAACCAGAGGTTCAAGGGTGAGGTGCTGCAGACAGAAGAGAGATGGGTAAGGACTGTTCAGGAGTGGCTCTAAGGGCTGGGCTCTGGCGAGCAGGTGGCACACCCACAAGGATCGGAAACGGCTGTGCAGACCCAGTGTCTGGGGTTCAGCAAACTGGGGGCAGCCAGACCAGTGTGGTCAGTGGGCAAGACAGATTTAAGACAGGAGGGCCACCAAAGAGGACCCACACCAAGTACAAAATGCACATACGCAGAACCCTCCGGGCTGTGGAGTGGGGACCTCCCCCCAAGCTGTGGAGCAGGGAGCCCCCAGGCTGTGGAGTTGGATGGCTAGGTCCTGTCCTGGAGTGCGGCCCAGCAGCAGCAACTGGACAGATGTCGATTGGACTATCAGGAGCCCAGGTGTTTGTGTGGCCAGGAGAGCACATGCCCTCTGGAGTCAGTGTGAGAGGAGGACAGCAGCCAGTCGGAGACAGGAACATCCAGGACATGAGAAGGCAGGGAAGCTGTCAGAAGTGGCCCAGGACATGACAAAAATGCAATGGGACAGGCCCTAGAAGCCGGGACCAGCCCCACAGCACCCACAAAGCGGGAGGAAAAGGAGCACAAAAAGCAGGATCCTGAGAGCTGCACCAAGATAGCACGCCCGGCCAGAGACCCTTGAAAAGGAGGAGGCCAGGGAGGGCCCTTCCCTCCCCTGCCACAGCGGTCAGGAGCTCCGGGTCCAGTCACCGCTCCCTGGACTGAGCACCCTCTGTTGGGACTGAACACGTAACTGAGAGGTTATGAGGTTTTAACTCGAAAGGTCCTCACTGAGAAAGCTTTAGCTTCTGCATTTTAGAGAACAGACACAAGGATTAAGTGACATTTCACAAGGAAACTGGGACTTACCCAACCTGAATGAGTTCGTTCAGCTTTGTCGCATTCTTGTCATCCATACCTTTAAATGGAAAAATAAATGAGACAGTGATATAGTTAGGAGCAAAGCCACTGGAAGTTCCCATACAATTCTGTTCAATATAGACTCAAATCCCATTACCGAGTATTAAAGTTCCTCTGGAACAACAGCCCTGCAGTAGCTGCAGCTCCTCCCCCAAAGCCACACCTTCGTGTCAGCTGCCCCAGTCACCCCTGCTCACCTGAAAGGCTGGCAACGCCCCTGCCTGGCCCCTTCCTCAGGCAGGTACACTACACTACAAGGCCTCTGCCCAGCTGATTTGTCCTCCCCAAAGCTCTCTCCTAGGTCCCCCCAGTGCCGGCCTTCCACTCATCCCTATCTGCATGGCTCGATGGCTAGTTCCTTCAGGCACCACACCGGCCCCACACACACCGGCCCCACACACACTTGCTCCTGGGCTCGTACTGAGTGTCCAGTGTTGACCCTCTGGCCCACAGTGTGCCACCCCCAGGGCACCCAGGGTCTGCAGAATGAAAACACCAACACCCTCTGAGTTTCCTGGAGCAGATGCCCCACTTCCTCTGACCTGCTCGGGACTCTTCACTACATTCAGGATGTGCGAAAAAGCAACTACAGTACATTAGCGGGAGAAACTTGGTGGTGGGTACTGGGGTGTTCACTGTAAAATTCTCTGAATTCTTCTGCATACTTTGGGGAAAAAAACTCCACAAATAGCAGGCTAAAAACCAAAACCAAAGACAAAACTGTCAAAGCAGCCAGAGGCAGACAATGAGCCTCACATGAAGGAATGAGGACACAGATGACCACTGACTCCTCTCATCAGAGCAGCACAGGCCGGAGGCAGTGGACAACAGCATCAATGCGACAAAAGAACCAACCTGTCAGATTAGAACTCTCTATCTGGCAAATACATCTCTTACGAATGAATATGAAATAAAGAGTTTTCAGACAACTAATAAGAATTCACAGCCAGCACAACTGCATGGCATGAAATAAAGGATGTTTTTCAGGATAAAGGAAAACAAAGCCAGATGGAAGGGGAACTTCAAGAAGGAATGAAAAGCATGGAAAAGGGCTCTAGTCGCCAGGCGAGGCACCGAGAAAGAAACCAGTCATGGAAACTGGCCAGGCATGGCATGCCACGGGGTCACTGTGCCTCACCTTGCCCGCTATTGGATGAAGGGCAGAGGCCTGGGTGCAAAGTGTGTCCTTCACTCAGCAATTGAGTCATTTATTTACATCAAACTTGAGCATCCTCATGAGGCAGGAGAATAGGGTCTGGAGGCAGGGAACCTAAGGCCAATTCATGCTGACTTCCTAGAACTAAATCAAAAGGAAAACCCCAACTTTCCACATCTAAGTAACAAAAGGACCAGACGCTCCTCCTTTTTGCAACCCCACCCTTTGTTTCTATGTGGCAGATGGAAAATTGAAAGTTATCTCTGATTGGTTACAGCAAGCAGAAAGCAACCAATCAAACATTTACATAGGAGTGTAACTTTGTAAGCAACCAATCAGACTGACTGGGGCCAATTCTTCCTTTGCATAGACCTGTAACTTTGTAACCACTTTGGCTTCTCATTGGTTGCTTTCCACAGCCAGATGTTTGCATAGGGTGTAATGTTTGTACTTCACTTCAGCTTCTGATTGCAGGCCACTGCTTCATTTACATAGGGTATACACCAAATAGCCAATGGGAAACCTCTAGAGAGTATTTAGACCCCAGAAACTTCTGTAAAAGGGCCCTTGAGCCCCTATGCTTGGGCCCATTCCCACCCCATGGAGTGTACTTTGGTTTTTTTCAATAAATCTCTGCTTTTGTTGCTTCATTCTTTCCTTGCTTTGTGCATTTTGTCCAATTCTTTGTTCAAAATGCCAAGAACCTAGACACCCTTCACCTCCCAGAAGCTTCTATGGAAGGAACGAGGAACAAGTAGTGGGCAGAAGGACGAGGCAATACTCAGTGGGAACGCATGGTCAAGACAGGGTTTTCCTTTCCTTGGGGAAGATGAGAGCTGGGAGAGCTGTGGCATAAACTCCTTGGGGCCTGGGCTGCTTCCTGAGGCTGAGAGTGAGCAGATGAGAAGCAGCAGGAATGGGCATGAGGAGCTGGAACACGAGGGCCACAGATGTGGGTGCTGGAGCTGAGGGCTGGGACAGGCAGGCTAGAGGAGGGAGGAGAAGGTGTGGCTGGGCCCAGAGGGGACAGACCCAGTGGGGAAGCGCAGGAGGACAGGGCCCGCCACACACAAATGCCACAATGGCTCAGAGCAGCCACCCCACAGGACACAGCAAAGCATGGAGAGGCAACAAGGAGGCAGAGTATGATACAGGCAGGGCACACACAGGGCAACTGCTCTGTATATGTCCTGTCAGCCCCACCACCCGCCCCCGAGTTATGATATGTTAGCTGATGCAATCAGGCAGTATCCCACTGAACCTGTGAAGCAGCCCCAGGGGTGTGCACCCCTAGGGTGCCCACTGGAGAGCCCAAGTGTGCTCTCTTTTCTGGAGTCAGGCAGAAGAAGCAGGATTGAGGGACGCTGGGCACAAGCGCCTGATAAGACAACAATGTCCCTACCTAGAGAACATGTCAAAAATGTCTAAAGGCTATCTGGTCCCAAGGAGACAATCGGAGCAAATCCAAGCAAGGCCCTGCATGAGGACAGCCTGGGCGCATACCAATGCAATGTTTCAGAAGCCCATGTAGTACAGCCACTCAAAGACACCCAAAGAAGACTCCACAGTTACATGCAAGGCAATGGCCCTGGACAGAAGACCTGACTGACATTTTGGGATGTTTTAGAAAATCTGAATATGGGCTAGAAATTAGGGAAGATTACTGCATCTGTTTTGGTAAATGCTAAAAGTCTTGGTGTGACCATGGCATTAAGGCTATGCAGGAGAACATGCTCTGAGGTGATGCCGGCAGAGGTGTTCCAGGCTTGCATGACATCTTACAGTCGAGTGGAGTGCAGGGCATGTGAATACGTGTGTACATGCAAGCACATGAACATGGAGAGAGACAGCAAACATGGCTAATGTCAGCAACAGGTCCATCTAAGCCAAAGAGCAAGGCAGCCATCAGCCATGGGTGCATGTGCACAGAACAGGCAAGAGAGCAAACGTAACCAGTGTCAGTGACAGCAGGTCCATCTAAGCCAAAGAGCATGGCAGCCATCATATACTTCACCTCTTCTATTATTAACATTTTTTCACGATAAAAGTCAGAGAGAAAACAGAAGCAACTCTGGGCACTAAACCCCAAAGGTGACAAGGTTGGGAGGAGCTGTGGGCAACCCCACAGGTGTCATACTCACAGCCCCCGATCTTCTTACGCAGCTCGCCGTAGCAGATCAGGCCGTACAGCTCCTGGGAAGACTTCTTCAGTCCTCGAGAGAACACTGAGAGACAGAAGAAAAGGCGGCTTTAGAGAGGGGAATACAGGGAGGTGCTGCGCGGCTCGGACCTGGGAGCCACGCCGGGCTCATGCGGTTTCTTATATCTGCTCCCTGTACCTTAGTCACACAGGCTGTCAACCACAGCGGACACTGGGCAGAGTGTCGAGAACACAGCGCTGTGTTTGCAATTTTCAAAATAGAAAGTTAAGCAAACCAAAGTGGAGAGTTAGAAATTTACTCCTAACAGGCCGAAGAAACGTCCCCTGGAGGAGAAAACAGAACTCCAAACAGCTGGTTCTTGTGGAGGCAGTGAATGTGACCGGCACTAAACCTGTCATCCATCTCTGCACACAGGTGAGGCCAGCAGCCCTGCAACTAGGATGCTGCCTTCCTGACTCACCTGTGCCCTCCTGGGACAGATCTGTACAGCCTGGGGCCAGGCGGGAAAAGGACTACAAGCTTGAGCTACCGCACCCGGCCTCATCAGACTATAAGGAGCCCGTGACTCGGAAAGCTTTAAGATCCACTATTCAGTAGACAAGCAAAATGTGGTCATCCACCCAACGGAAGATTATCCAGCCATAAAAAGGACTGGCACATGCTACAACACAGACAAACCCTGAAACCCTATGCTGAGTGAAGGGAGCCAGGCACAGAAGGACACGTAGCATGTGATCCCATTTCTATGAAACGTCCAGAGTAGAAACATCCACAGAAACAGGAAGTAAACTGACAGCATCCAGCAAAGGGTTTCCTTCTGGTGCAATGGACGCATTCTGCGACTACAGAGAGACCATGGCTGCATAACTTTGTATTAAGAACCACTAAATTGTACACTTTAAAAGGGTGAATAATATCCCAATTTCTAAAATATATTTTTAAAAGTCCACTATTTGAAATAGCAAAAAAGAAAAACACCCACAACCCAGAAAGAGAGAAGAAAGTAGCACCAGGAGCAAGACAGTGCAGACAAGGGGCCCCCAGGCAGATGGGACCCCGGGACAAAGCAGGGGTTCTGGGAGGCATCCCTGGTGCCCTGCCTCACCCCACAGCCTCCTAGGTGGCACCTCATGTTTTGTTCTACACTCAGGGACAGGAACCACACTCACCTCATCCAACCTTACTAAGTTTGTGAAACAAAATCTCTGCCGAGCAACAGGCATCAGCAGGGAGATGTGGATGTGCATGGAAACCACGGGAGATTAACAAGATGAACACAGACTCAAGGTCATGGCTCCCAAACCGGGGTGGAGTCAGCCCCGTTCATGCTGCTCACTTGCCACCACTCTGTGTCTTATTCCACTCGATGAATCAGACAAACCCACAATAAAGTGCACACAGTGCACTCTTCAAAAATCCAAAGCACAGGCTGGGTGCGGTGGCTCACGCCTGTAATCCTAGCACTTTGGGAGGCCGAGGCAGGTGGACTGCCTGAGCTTAGGAGTTTGAGACCAGCGTGGCAACATGGTGAAATCCCGTCTCTACTAAAAAATATGAAATTAGCCAGGTGTGGTGGTACACGCCTGTAATCCCAGCTACTTGGGAGACTAAGGCATGAGAATAGCTTGAACTCACGAGGTGGAGGTTGCAGTGAGCCGTGATCACACCACTGCACTGCAGCCTGGGCGACAGACCAAGACTTTGTCTCAAAATACAATATGAAACTCTAAAGCATGCTAAAAAATACATGTAACGTGAAAGGCTGCCACTCTGTTTGATGTGCAATGACAGTCCATGGGGCCAGTCACTTCACAGTGTCCTGGTAGCCTCCAGCCTCGGGGCTCCTGTTGGGCAAGACAGCATCGGGTGCCCCAATGCCACTGCACACAAGTATGGAGGCAGGCGGCCCTGCCGGAGACATCATCAGGGCCATAAGAGAACCTAGGAGAACAGTGAGCTCAACAGGAAGAAGGCACGTCATGTGGGGTCATGCCAAGATGCACGAACAGGAGACACCAAGGCTGCAGGAGCCTGCTGTGCCAGATCAGGAAGAGGGGGATACAGGGAGGGAGGGAGGCACAAGGATCCACATGGAGAAGGGAAGGACCTGTGTTGGTATGACCCCACAGAGGCGTGAGGGAGCATTTAAAATCCCTTCACCCTAGACGGAGAGAAGGGCCAAGGAGGAGTGATGCCTCCAGATGCCAGAGAAGTTTAGGATTAGGAGTGTACAACGGGGAAAGGTAACAAAAATAGATAAGAAACATTTTCTTTGACTGCCTTCTGAAATTGACAAGGGAGAGAGTCTGGGTGGGCAGGTAGAATGTGCACTTGAACCTCAAGAACAGATGAGTCTATGCTGGGAGACTGAGGGTCCAAAGACGCTGCCCACGCTGCCCTGCAGGTGGTTCACACAAAGCACTCTGGACGGAATCTCCTGGAGTCCCAGCCCTCTCTCTATACGTCGTCTACCAAACAGCCGCCCAGTCCCCTACACTGCTGACCAGCTTCCTCCACACAGAGCTTTTCAAGACCAGCCATTGTGGATGGTGGATCCACTCTCATGGGCTGACTTTCACAAAGGCAATAACGAAGAGTGCAAAGGACAGCTGACACAGAAAGAGGCCAACAGTGGAAACTCAGTGCTGCGTGCAACTGTGGAAGGCACGAGGCCACTCACCACAACCTGACATTAATCACAACAGCCTTGGGTGACAGGATCTGATCAGGGCTGAGATTCCAAATAAACAAGTGAGCTGGACATGAGAAGACCAGCACAGGTAGCAAATATAGGACGAAATGGAGGTAATGTGCCATAAACAAGTGAAGTCAGCAGAAAATCTTACGTTAATGGTCACACAGCTACCAAAAGCAAACAAACAAAGCTGCATTGGCAGCAAACCTGAATCAAGGGGCGCCCCTAACCTGCAGAGACCAACAGCCGTTTCCATGGAGCTCCAGAAATAGTGACAACTCCCAGTGGAGGTTCTTCAGTGGAGAAGTTGCGCAGTGGGCAGGGGCTATATGCGGCCCTCAGGGATCTGCCCCAGTCAGACAGGGGAGCTGGGTACTGGCTCTTCCCAAAGCTCTGGGCAATGCCAACGCACCATGGTCAAGATACCATAATCTGTCCAGAGGACACAACAGGGAATGGCCAAGGCGAGGGACTTTAGGTCACCACAAGGCACGGGCAATGACACAAGGAGTGGCAGCACAGCTATGGTCCAGTACCCTGCGTCGGAACACAAGACATCTGAAAGAAGGGTCAGAAGGCAGCGGGGAGACCCAGGGGTGCATCTGGAAGGACTATGCTGTGCATGAAGCTGCAGGAAGAGCAGGGCCCAGCACAGGGATGCTGCTGGAGAGGTGGTTCTGACAGGCATAGGCAGGAGGTGGCTGAGCCTCCTGAAGGCAGAGAAGGTGATGGACAAAGCATCGCCTGAAGAAGCCATCAGCAGCCAAAGGGTGCTCTGAGCCAGAGCCAGAATCATACCTGGGGATGACTTGGTCCCGTGAATAAAGAAGGGCCTGCACAGACCTGGGTCCCAGTACACACAGCAAGAAACCTGGGAAGGTTGGCCGTCCCCCAGGAAGACCAGAGCCAGGCATGGTGCCTACAGCCCAAGCCCCTCGCTGGACCACAGTGCCATCATTTGCAGTGGAGACCACAGGCTCTAGGTGAGCCAGGAACCCAGGACCCATGCACACTCAGAGTGACTGGAAACACACAAACCACAGCTCAGAAAAGCAGTGGAAAGAATCCCGGAGCCTGGAATGTGGGCTGCTTCCTGGCAATTTGGTTCGACCGAGTTAGATGGCACACGGTCAGCCAAACGCTACAAGGCAAGGAGCCAAGCAGCTGCTGAGAAAATGCCAGAGAGCAGGTCGGCAGGCTTGCTGGAAGCTGTGCTCCGAGTGAAAGCCAGCCCTGCCCGTGCGCACCCCCGAGCCTGGCCCGTGGCGCACTCACCGTGGTCAAAGTCGATGTACTTGGTGATCTTGTGCCAGGTGCGGTAGTAGAAGTGGCGGACCTGCTCCTTGTTCTTCACCATGCTTGCTGGCTTGCCTTTCTTCTTGTACTTCAGTGCAATGTTGTTCTGAATCGCTTCAAAGTCCTTCCCATGCTGGAAAATAATTCCATGATAAAAGTGGAGGGGTTAAACTAATGCAGCTTTCTGTGCGAGGTGGACCCTTTCCAAGGCTCCCAGAAAGGAGAAAAGAGGCAGGCCACGAACAAGCAAGCTGCCCTTCCCAGCTCTTCTCTGTGTATGAACTTCAACTTTGATTCCCCGGAACCTTAGGTTTTAATCAGGATAAAGGAACAATGAAACCAATTATGGAACGATCAGAGCACATGGACACCAAAGAGGCAAGTACCCCAGACAGGAGAAGCATAAAGCTCAGCACTTGGACAAATGGCTTAATGGCTAGAGTTCTTTAGAGACCATGAAATGAGACACCTCCATGAAGAAAGGCTCTGGAAGACAAGAGAAGCCATGTAGCAGTGACGACATCTTGAAGAACAGATCAGAAACACCCTCACTGCTTCAATCCTAAAAAACAGAGTCCATATTCAAGGACAACAAACGTGAACTTTAGTAAGTGAACCACACAGAACATACTGATTATACCTGGAGGCCAACTCTTCTTTGAAGCTTCTGTGCAAAAGCTGAGCGTGACTTAGATTTTCAGAAGAGAACTTGTGTTCCAGAGAACAGTGTCACCTCAGTGCTGTTTCAGCCACTGCCACAGAGAACCAAGCATCTGATCACCTCATCAAAGTCAAGCTCCTGAAGTACTGGAAGGGCTCAGCAGCGACAAGCACTCCTAGTGCCAAGGTCTTGGTCTCTAAATATCACTTTGCAAAGGGAAGCAGGGCTCCCAGGAAAAACAACTGACTGCAAAGCTGTGAGCAGCCACTGTGTCTGGAATGCCTGGCGGCACCAGCAAATGAAAACACGCTGATGGGCAACAGGGACATGTGGAGAGGATGCAGGAGCCAGCCTGAGACTCTCAGTGGCCAAATGGGGAACTAATAGGGCCAGAAAGCCAACAATGGCATGATGGATTATGATCCCCAGAATAAACCCAACATCCCCAAGTCTACATGAGTGTAAGTAACAGGATAACTACACATGTGGGGGAGAAGGACTCCCAATCAGCAAATGTAGAAAGAATAACGGAAACAGAAGGTCCTCATTGTGAGCAAACACCACGGTTAACAACTGCTTCAGGGAAGAGACAGCAATGGTTGCTAAAATCGGTGGGAGCAAAAATGATGAAAAACAGGGTATTTACAGAGCTTCAAAGGCAAGCCATGACCCACTGTGGTGAGGCCTGGTGGAGGCCACCTGAGTGCAGCAAGCAAGGCAAACCACCACCAGGACAGAGGCGGAAAGACCACCACGGGCCGGCCACTGGATGTGCCAAGGAAGACGTGGTATCACTGTTGTAGAATTCTTGATGGAAATGCGTAACAAAAGACAGAATGATGAGGAAACTGCAGATCAATCCTAACTGACACAAGGGACACTCAATCAATCAACAGGCTGTGAGTCTCCACAGGTATAGAGATGATCAAAGACAAAAACCATGCAAACAAACAAAAACCCAGAAGCTGTCCCAGGTTACAAGAGACTGAGGAGTCAGGGCAGCTGAGTGCAGTGTAGCATCCTGACCAGTCTGGACATGAGTGGGACCCTTGGTAATCTGAATCTCCCCCTTGCAGATGAGCAGGCAGGCAGTGTCTGTGCTCATACCCTCACAGGGTGGCTGCCCTAATGCTGTGGAGGCAGGGCGGAGGGGGCCTGCTCTGTGCTGTTTTTTGCAACTCTTTAAAGGTCTGAAATGTTTCAAAATGAAAAGTTAAGGGAGCCAGGTGGTGGCTCACGCCTGTAATCCCAACACTTTGGGAGGCAGATGCAGGAGAATTGCTTGAGCCCAGGAGTTTGAGACCAGTTTGGGCAACATAGTGAGACCCTATCTCCACAAAAAACCTAAAAATTAGCCAGGCATGGTGCAACATGCCTGTAGTCCTAGCTACTTAACAGGCTGAGGCAGGAGGATCATCACTTGAGCCCGGGAGGTCAAGGCTGTAGTGAGCTAAGATGGCACTCCTGCACTCCAGCCTGGGTGACAAAGCAAGACTGACTAAAAAAAAAAAAAAAGATGTCTTTTAAACTAAAAAAATAAAAAACGTGACGATGGGGGCCAAGAGGTGGTAACTAGGCACCTCAAGGAAATTGGAACCTGGGGACTGCTGGGTGCTGGCCCCCAACCCTGTCTACCTCAGAGGCCTCTTGGCAGCTGGGGGACTGTGAGGTGAGTTGGGGGGCGGGGAGGTGGCATTGTGGTGGACACATTTACACATTTTAGGGTCTGTCACTCCCGGCAACACAGAGGCTGAGGGAGGTGAAGACAGAAGTTGCTGTGGGCTGGAGGGTGGGGCTGGAAGGCTGGCCCTGGTGCAAAAACAAAATGAAAAATTTTAAACCTTAGAAAAAGTAAAACTAGTTCATTGCTTTTCAAAAGGAATGGCAAGTAAAGCATAAAGAGGTGAAGGAGAGTGTGAAGTGCCTTCCTCCAGGGTCTAGGAAGGCAAAGCCCTCCCCATATTCCCTGGGCCTCAGTGAGAACCGTGATGAAGCAAATCGATGGCCTCTGCATGTCACTGCTGGGCCGTCTGCTCAGAGGTTCCCTGAGAACCCAGATTCCAGGCCTCCTGCTCGCATGTTCTCAGCCTCTGCTGCCTCCTAAAGTCCTGGGGCACCTGTGTTGCACCTGCCATGTGTCTCCAAGGCTGCAAGCCCCACTGGGCAGAAGCTTTTCTGTATTCCCAGTGTGGCGAGAGTGCTCTGTCCTGGGTCAGGAACCAGACATATAGATGCTAACAGCAACAACAACAAAAGACAGGAGGGACTGAAAGTATCAGAAAGCTGTCTGGGGTGAAGGGAAAGAAATCTGCAGTGTCCACAGAGCCATGGAGATGGTAACAGGCCGAGATGCCCCCAGCCGCCCGCACAGAGATGGGGAAGGCATAGGTGGGGACAGAAAAAGGGGGTACCATGAAGCCCAGAGGCCAGAGCCAAAGCTGCAGCCATTCTGCAGACAGTGAGAAGGAAGCACAGGATGCTGGCTGTGTGGCTGTCAGGCGGGAAATTAAGAACTGTATAGAAAAAACCAGCATGGACAATGAACGGATACAAGCAGGAATAGGAACATAAAATGAAGTCAGGGATGGGTCTGTGCAGACCTGCCACTGAAATGGAAGGGTATTGAGAGGAAGGAGGCAAGGCCCTGCCACAGGTGAATGCCCTCCCTGGCTACAGGGAGAAGTCTAGATATGTCATAATTGGACAGCGGCCAATCTGAGCGTGCCCAGCACTGCCCAAATTAGGGTGGGCAGGGGCAAAACTCTCGCCTGGAGAGCAGCTGAAGCAGGAGAGAATTCAGCCCATGATCAAGGGTGACCAACTGAGGCCCAGTGACGGCAGAGGGATCCCTGAATCCAGTTGGGCCCCAGCCAGCCTTGCTGCACCCCACCCAGGGGGGCATCAAAAAGGCAGCTGTGGCCATGACAACAAGGGGGGAGCCGCACTCCTCAGAGGCCTGTGCCCAGCCACTGTCACCCCACAGCTCGAGGGTTCACGGTCATGCTGCCACTGGCCAGTCAGCCATACATCAAGACCCCACCAGAGGCCCACCTAGCTTTGGTGAGACACACAATACAGAAATAAAACACGTTCGGTCCAGTGTCATGGCTCACGCCTGTCATCCCAGCACTTTGGGAGGCTGAAGCAGGTGGATCACCTGAGGTCAGGAGTTCGAGACCAGCCTGACCCACTTGGTGAAACCTGGACTCTACTAAAAATACAAAAATTAGCTGGGCGTGGTGGCGGGAACCTGTAATTCCAGCTACTGGGGAGGCTGAGGCAGAAGAATCGCTTTAACCTGGGAGGCAGAGGTTTTAGTGAGCCAAGATCGTGCCACTGCACTCCAGCCTGGACAAGAAGAGCGAAACTCCGTCTCAAAGCAAAAACAAAAACAAAATCATGTCCTCTCTCTTGCCCTTGCTCTCTCTCATAAACATACTCAGATACAGAAAACCCATGGCAGAAAGCATTACGTGGTCAAAACAGCCAACTATTAATTATTATTACTAATTCAGCATTCCAGGACCCCTCAAAACAGCATCTGCCTGGCAGAAAAACTCCAATGGGCAGCTTAACCCAATGGGAAGGAAATAAAATAAATTGCTGGAGGAAAGCAAAAGGGTGGGTCATTAACCAGGACCTCCTCCTCTGCTTTTAATGGACAACGATGTCTCCTCCTCCCAGGTAGCCAGACCCTCTTACAGAGGCCACAGTCTCAACAAGGAGGAAGGGCCACACCACAGGAGTAACTAACTGTTTCAGGCAAGAATCAGCAAAGGTTGCTGATTCTGAAAACATTCCAAGAATCGCAGGTCCTCCAAGCCCAACAAACAGCTTAAAGGCATGATTTGGGGCTAGAATCTAGACAGAAACAGCCTCCTTGCTGTACTTGAGAATCTTCAAAGGGAAGAAAAGGAACACATGAATTTGTCTAAATGACTTCACATCTACTGAAACGGGACTCATGCACACTTCTCTTTGGACAATCAGAGTCAAGCCACACTAACAAGGCAGTCCCGTCCACCTGGGTTGGGCAGAACCTAACCTGCAGCCCAGGCGGGGGCAGCCCTGGCCATGACATGCACTGCAGTCAAGTCTCATGCCCACATTTACAAGTGTCTACTTTTCTAATGTCTCTCTAAACACCTCGTGCTTTAAATTTCAGAGGCTCCATTCCTTTCCTGAGCATTCTGCTTCCCAGGCTTGGCAGGACTTCATCACCCCAATTAATTAGCTGTTAAAAGAACAAGGCTCTTGGAAGGCAGAGACGGGCAGACTGCCTGAGCTCAAAAGTTCGAGACCAGCCTGGGCAACACGGTAAAACCCCATCTCTACTAAAATACAAAAATTTAGCCAGGTGTGGTGGTGGGTGCCTGTCGTCCCAGCTACTCAGAACGCTGAGGCAGGAGAATTGCTTGAACCAGGGAGGCAGAGGTTGCAGCAAGCCAAGATCACATCACTGCACTCCAGCCTGGGCGACAGAGTGAGACTCGTCTACTAAAAAAAAGAACAAGGCTCACTGATCACAAACCTACTTCTAATACTGTAAGCCAAAGAAGTGGTCTAAAATATGAAATGCGCACACAGATGTTCACCACAGCATTATTTACAACAACAGAATCTGGAAGGACCCCAGTCGTCCTTAACCGCACAGGAATGGCCAGGCAGAGCAGTAGCTGGCTGGGGCCTCGAGGGCACCCTGTCTGGTGCAGCTCTTCAACTGTGCCACTGCAGTGGGATCAGCCGCAGACAGTACATCCACTCTAGCCATGGCTGTGCTCCAATATGGTGTTTTTACAAAAGCACACAGTGAGCACACAGGCAAGGAGAACATTTACAGCGTTAAAAGAAATACAGAGCAAAAGAACTATGAAACACCACAAAAAACGCAGTAAGCGTTAAAAAGTATGCTCACAATAACTACAAGCATTAGGAAATAAAACATGCAGGTGCAACCGGCCCACAGGGAGCATGGCCATTCACTGGGCAGTGGCATCAGGGAGTGGCTTCTCTCTATTTTTAGGACTTTCTGTTTTGTCCCAAGTCAGTGCGACATTTTGTTAGGTTTCTCAACTACGCCAACCCCCAAGGCAAGCACCCCCTCACTCAGCACAAACGGAAGGCCCTAAGAGGGCCTTCAGTCAAGAACATCTTTGAGAGACAAGGGGTGAGAATCTCCAAAAGGAAATAAAAGAAACACACAAGAACACCTCCTCACAGTCACCTCACCAGTAATAGCTTCTAAAATTTCAATGAGGAGATAAACATCCAAGGTCAGTGGGCAAGGTTTGGGGCCCAAGACCACCTCAGCCACTGTGGGGTCCCCAGGAACCTGCATTCTAGAATCTAACAGCAGAGGGGAAGCACAGGGAGTGAAGGACAGGGCTCCAGGAGGCATGCCCTGGCCACCTGGCCACGCCTCCACGGCCCACTCACCTCATATAGCCCCTCGAAGAAGGTGTTCTTGTCCTCTGTGCTCCATGACTCCCACTGCCGCCGAACCTTTTTGCCTTCTTCCTTCTCACCACCAGAAGACCCTAAGTTCCGGGAGGAGGAGCGCGAGGCCCCTGCAGGGGCAGCAGAGGCAACCCCAGACACATTTCCAGATGATGATCCTCCACCTTCAGCTCCTTGGAGAGAAAGCACTGTACAGTGATCTGTTCCAGAAAGCTGGTGGGCCTGGCAGGGCAGAGGGCCTGAGGGAGGGAAACGCCCACTGCCCCGAGGTCCCATTCCACAATCCTCAACCAAGGACGCTGGCAGGCAGCACCCAAGACCAGGGTGCCAGTGAGGCTGCTCAGGACTGCCAGGATGCTTACCTGGCCAAATGACTCTCGAATGTTTTTACAATTAGAAAAGGAGCGAGAGTTTATGTGGAACCGTGTAACAGCACGACAATACTGCAGCCTAAGACGCTCTGTCCACAATGCAGACAGATCCCTTCCCTAGGCAAACTGAAGCCTCACATCACATTTCATGCGTGTTTCTTTTGCAAATGAGATTTCTGGCTGAAATATTCTTACCACCTTTTCAAATAATTAGGTTGAGATTCAACCTCAAGAAAACATTTAAATGTGTGTAAACTACTACCTTCTTTTAGATATAATCAATACTTCAGAATGTGAACCATTTAATGCCTAAGAATCTTTAGTCTTAAAACTCCTTTTCCTCAAGGTCCACCAACAGAATGTGGTGTCCTGAGAACAGCCTGATAACCTTGCAAATCCTATCACAGCATCAGTTCCTGAGCTCAAGCCGAGTCCTCTGAGACCAGGCCAGGAGGGAAAAGCCCAAGAAGACCTGAGGAGGCTTCACTTCCCAGCTGTGGACCAAGAACCCCAGGCTCCTCCGAGACGAGAGGCAGTGATGTGGCAGGAGTCAAAGACCACAAATAAAGACTTCTTATGGCCTAACACACTCCTCCCACCCACCTGTTTCTCCTCGCAGGGGGAGCGGGAACTGTCAGCATATCCCTGTGATAACCAGGGTTCTCTTTTTATAAAACATTAGGACCATAAAATGCTGGGACATCTTCAAACTCTGAACAAAATGCTTTAAAAAGCAAAAGCTGGCTGGGCACGGTAGCTCACTCCTGTAATCCCAGCACTTTGGGAGGCCAAGGCGGGTGGATCACTTGAGGCCAAAAGTTAAGAGACCAGCCTGCCCACCATGATGAAACCCCGTATCTCTACTAAAGATATAAAAATTACACCTGGGGTGGGGTGGGGCGCGTTCGCTCATGCCTGTAGTCCCAGCACTTTGGGAGGCTGAGGCAGGCGGATCATGAGGTCAAGAGAGTGAGACCATCCTGGCCAATGTGGTAAAATCCCATCTCTACTAAAACTACAAAAAAAAAACTAACTGGGTGTGGTGGCATGTGCCTGTAGTCCTAGCTACTCGGGAGGCTGAAGCAGGAAAACTGCTTGAACCCAGGTAATGGAGGTTGCAGTGAGCCGAGATCACACCACTATGCTCTAGCCGGAATGTCTCCCCGCCGCCGCCAAAAAAAAGAAAGAAAGCAAAATCCAAGCAGATGTAGATTACTGTTAAGATGCTTTCCTAATGAGACAATCACAGGCTTTTCCGTCCAGATCCACTTCTTGGTTGACCGAGAAGGGGGCCCTGCCTGGGCAGCCACATGCAGGCTGGGAGGTCAGCTCCTCCCCCGGTGGGGGTCTGCCTCCAAATCTGGAGGTGGAGGTTGTAGTGAGGCGAGATCACACCATTCACTGCACACCAGCCTGGGCAACAGAGATTCACGCGTTAAAAAAAAAATTTAAAAAGAAAAAGCCTCTCAGTCCCACCAGCCCCATTTCTGGTAGTCAAGGGCCACATGCGGCCATCATTGCAGAGAGAGCTGCCAGACGGTGCTGCACCTGAATGTCCAGCATTCACAGCCGAGAGCACACTGCTGTGGAATAAAAAATGAGTTCCAAGCGTGTCCCACCCAGGCTGCTTTCCAACTGTTCGATTCCCATCCTGCAGAGACAAAAGAAACAAAATCCAGGTATGCTCTGTGCTACACATGAAATACCTCACATGTTATCTGGCCCTGTCCATTCCTCAACAAACCAGGACCTAATGAACCTGGTACTTCCCAAGAACCTAGTGTTTCCCAAGTTGAAGGGCAGGTTACAGACGCCATCTGAAACATAACTGTTAAATACAAGGCGCTCTGCTTCACTAGGAGCCTGTAATTCCTCACGTGGAGTCATTTCAGGAAGGACTGCCTGTCCACCTCTGCACCACCCACAACAAAGGCTTTCAGAGCCATTTACAGGTTCCTAAGAAACACTCACTAAACTCTCTTCTTCCAAGACCACAACTTGCTAACCAGCCCTGCCGTTACATATCGTTATTTTTGCTAGCCCATGCTGGCATTACATATATTTGAAAAAGTAACAGACATAAATTTCCCAAAATTCTATAATCCAGATGTCTTGCTAAATTTTGTGAGATTTTACTGGATCACAACACTGGTGATCCAAGACAAAGAAAATGAAACAGTAAAGGCTAACAGAATGAAGAGTCTGAGCTGGACGAACTCTCAGAGGTGGAGAGGAGGCAAAAGCTCATCTGAGACAAGAGAAGAAGGCACAACAGTAAAGGCGGCTCTGGCAGGGCTGGTGAAGCGGCACCCACTCCTCAGAGGAGCAGGCCACCTCCCAGCAGCCCCAGGCTGGTGCAAGGGGCTTCCCTTTCCTCCTTTTGTTTTAGAAATGACACATCCTCAGTAGAGAAAAGCAGAGCAAGATCAGTATTCAGAAAAGAAGGCAGACCTGAGGTTGGGAGTTCAAAACCAGCCTGGCCAACATGGTGATGCCCCATTTCTACTAAAAATACAAAAATTAGTCAGGTGGCGCGCGCCTGTAATCCCAGCTACATTGGGAGGCCAAGGCAGGAGGATCACTTGAGGTCAGGAATTCGAGACCAGCCTGGCCAACAAGGTGAAACCCCATCTCTACTAAATATACAAAATTAGCCAGGCATGGTGGCGCACGCCTATAATCCCAGATACTCAGGAGGCTGAGACAGAATCACTTGAAGCTGGGGGGCAGAGATTACAGTGAGCCAAGATCGAGCCACTGCACTCCAGCCTAGAAAACAGAGCAAGAGACTGTCTTAAAAAAAAATAAAGTAAAATAAAAGCAGATTCCCTCCCTGGTGGCACACACACCTGGGTAGCTGAGGCAGGAAGACTGCTTGAGCTCATGAGTTCAAGACCAGCCTGAGCAACACAGGGAGACCTTGTCTTTGCAAAACAAAACAGATTATAAAACCCAAAAAGCAGAAAAGAAAGCCAATCACCCCAAGTAATCTTTTCTCTTATTTGGTGCCCATTATCCTAGACTTTTTATTCTATTCCATTTTGGTGGTGTTGGATAGGCAGTCTTGCTCTGCACCCAGGCTGGAGTGCAGTGGTGCAATCTTGGCTCACTGCACCCTCTGCCTCTGGGGTTCAAGCAATTCTGGCACCTCAGCCTCCCAAGTAGCTGGGATTATAGGCGCACACCACCACGCCTAGCCAATTTTTTGTACTTTAGTAGAGACGGGGGTTTCACCATGTTGCTCAGGTTGGTCTCGAACTCCTGAGCGGAGACAATCCACCTCAGCCTCCCAAAGTGCTAGGATTACAGGCATGGTCCACTGTGCGCAGCCTAAACTTGGAATGCTTTTTAAAAAAGAACCACAATTTCAGAGCAGAAATTGAAGTGGCCTCTGGTTCATCCCTAAAATTTCAGATGCAGAAACCGCTTCACTGCTTGACCTGTAGCTCACTCACTGACTCCAGGTCAAACAAAATGAAAACAGAAAGTGGGGGCAGAGACACCTGGTAGAATACAAGGATGATCACCTGGGCAGGACCACCCTCAGCTCAGAGAAATTCATATGAAAACAGAAGGTAACGATTGAAGGGGAAGACAAAGAAGCAACAAGAAAAATGAAAGCAGAAAGGCAAGAGATGGAAAGAGAAGATGATGTAAACAAAATCAGGTGGGCGTGGGGGCTTCTCCGGGTGTAGGATGGTCAGTGCAAAGCAGAAGGCCCAAACCAGGTCTGTCTGTGAATGTTGCTGAGACCACAGGGTCTGAGCATAGTCTGCACGATAAGGAGCACCATCAAGAAGCCTAGAGGGAAGTGGGTACAATAGCATGATCCCTGACAGTGTTTTCTTTGTTGCTCTTCTGCCCAGGCTGGAGTGCAATGGTGTGATCTCAGCTCACTGCAACCTCCAGCTTCTGGGTTCAAGCAATTCTCCTGCCTCAGCCTACTGGGTGCCCACCATCAGGCCCGGCTAATTTTTGTATTTTTAGTAGTGATGGGGTTTCACCATCTTGGCCAGGCAGGTCTTGAATGCCTGACCTTGTGATCCACCCGCCTTGGCCGCCCAAAGTGCTGGGATTACAGGCGTGAGCTACCACACCCAGCCAACAGTGAGCTCTTTGAAAGCAAAAACTGTGTGGGATTTTCCCCTGCCCAAACCTGGTTCTAGGCCTCACACACGGCAAGTGCTCCGTGACAGCACAGAGTCCAATGGAGCCCAGATAAAGGGCCTCCCCATGCTCCCTTTGCCCCACAGCAGCCCCAGACAGCATGCCCCAGGCCACTAGGACCCAGGTCCTCCCAAACAGAAGCCGCCTTTCCACTCAGCCCGGTCACTACCACAGTTCTCCAGCAGCCACACTGCCTGCCACCTGCCTTCCCCTTCCCATCTGCACCACATTTCCCAAGCCAGCTCTGTGCTGCCCAAGTAAGACGATTTCAACAGCCTCCTCTTGGGTCTCCCAAATCCCCAGCACCTGCTGCAGCCCACTGTGCAGTGTGCTGTGAGGGCGCAGCCATGTGGCCCCAGTGCACCCTCCCCGTTGCCAGCCCCTCTATCTAGCTCCAGACAGGCTGGACCACCTGCTCTTTGCAACATGTCCTCTTCCCCATCACATGTCCTGAGTTGGCCTGGACTGTTACCACCTGCACTCCTTCATATCACCTTAAGATGACAAAATTATGCATATCTTTCAACTGGGGAAGCTGAGACACGGGCTGAGTAGGTCACCCACAAAGCCACACACCTACTCACTGCCCAACAGGCCTGGAAATAACAGAAGCTATATTTAAACGGCACCTTAAA